GAGCAATATTCAAAATTTTTGCGCAAGAAAAACGTATTAATAAACCGCTATTTTACTAAATATTCGACTCTCAGTCTCTGCATAATAGTTTGCCATCGCCATTTTGTGTCCGAGGAGCACAAGAAATGCGCTGTTTTCATGCGTATTAGCAGGGTATGTTTTCCGTGTTGTTTTACCTGGTTCAAGCTACTTGACTGAAGAAAACAGTACCAACCACTAACAACTAAACCAAAACAAACATCAAAAACAAAAACGCACAACGTAGCTACGAAGCAAAGCGTTTTAAGGAGTTTGTAAAGTAAGGATTTCCTCGAAATATCTCAAACTATACTTCTAACCGAACGTGAGAGGATGTAGAACACAGTCACAAGTGTGAGTGTTTTTCCTTTTTAGGTCCGATCTACTCTGATCCGAATGAACTTGAGTTCGGAGTCTATACCCCCATGAAGCGGATAGAATGTTTTTCATTCACTTTTAACGCCGCTCTAGATGAATGTAGAGCATGGCCATTCGACGTCAGCCTTTTTCGAAAGCTCTTGTTAGCAGTCGTCCACACTACACCAACAAGCCGGTGTTTTCTTTATCCTGGAGACCATTTTCGAAAAGTTCCGTTTTCTAAGTCGTTCACATTACACCACCTAGGCAACGTTGCAATGTTCCATTTTGGACTGAAGGCCTGATTGTCAAATTTATCCGGATTAGTGTTCTAACTGGTCCTGAGTAGTGTCTTCCCTAATGCGTGTTGCACGCAGGGCGGGAGAAGGTTCCTCTCTGGTTGCACGTGCTTGTGGTGCTTGCCTTTTATTGCGTGGTACCGCGCGAGCTCACGACAGCGCGCGCACTGGATTGTTGTCATGGTCACCCAATGCGCCTTCTCTGTGACGTGACTTTTTCAGTTCACCTTTTAAGTCATTAGTATTTCTTTCCCTGACGACCACGATGTCTGAAAGTTCACAAACTCCAGCTACTCTTCCAGTGACTTGTTCTTTAAAGTCGATTTCATTGGAGGATGACATTCCAATGTGCCGAATATGCTGCAGTACAGGCGGCAAACAAGGCGGACAGGAACCTCTTCTCCGGGTGTGTTTATGTAAAGGGAGTATGGGTGAGATACACAAGTCGTGTTTGGAGACATGGTTGACCGCTGCCCACGCCGACAGATGCCCTATTTGCCATTATGAGTTTCAGATAAGACGAGTTTTCAAGCCAATTACACAGGTATCTACACGAATTTAGGCAGCAAATAGCATAGAATTAGCTTACTTCCGGTCCGACAGCCACTGGTTGTGTCTCCTTTCCTTACCGTGGCAGACTGGTCAAACCCCTCCCCCTTCCATAACCCATTCGCCTTTTGAAGCCAGTCGAGCCTTTTAATTTTCTGTTCACTTTCTCGCAATAACGAACCAAAATTGCTCAAAGAACACCGTTTATAAGTCGAGCACTTGGTGGCTTTCTATTCCAGACGCAAAATATCAGCGTCCGAAATTTCGAGCATGAGCGAAGAGCAAAATGGGATTTTACTTTTCGCTTTCTCTCTTCTCCTCTTCATCAGGAGGGTTTTGGGTCGAATGGATTAAAACTCAAACAACTTTCGCTCCAGTGACTTTAGGAAAACGTTGTGATAAAACCTGTTGAGTGGTACACATTTTAGACAAACAGGGCACTGTCATGTAGTAATAGCACCAAAACAACCAATAAATTTCGTATGAGTAACTGATCCTCACAGAACTATACAGTCGAAGCGACACTAACTTTAACCATTAACGGATACGAAGCTTCCTCGTGTCTTAAGCGTAAGTCAATTAAGCCACCTGGAGAACAGACAAATTTTCACTAAATTTTGTAGTTCGTAACGGATACGTGATGATTGAATTCAATCAATTTTAAACCGGTTACTTAAGAATTTTCTGTTTATTTTCAGTGGCGTTGTCCTCCAATGCATCCAAACGACATTTCTATGTTGGTGTTCACAGTTCTTTTCATTGGAATGTTTGCTGTGCAGTTAACTGGAATGGCTTTCCTCGTTAGTTACTATAAACAACCGGCGTGCCACGCTACCATTAGCTTAGGACTTGCCGGAATCGGGGCCGGACTTCCCTTCTTCTTGGCTCTTGCACTTGCGCTGACAGTGAACGTCTACTTTTCGCGATACTGGAGACACTGGCGAAACACGAACAAACGAGTAATTGTACGCTTGGGTAATATCAATGAAGCAGATATTGTACCCGTTTGAACTGATATCCGTTTTTCACATAAACTCGCTTTTAACGAAAACAACCCTCGGAAATAGTGTGTTGAAGCAATTCTTCATATTATTTAAGAACATTTAAGTTGACATTTTAATTACTTCAAGTTTAGAGGCCAATCATTTATCGGGAAAGGCAATTTACCGATTAAACACAATTAATTTCCCATTAGAGGCACGTCGTGTGAGAAGGACTATTAATATTGATTTAAAATGTAGGGTAAAGTATCATCAGAAAACAACTAGTGATTGTGAGAAAGGAATTGCAACAATTACCTTCTTGCAAGTGCGTTTTTTTTTTTTCGGGGGGGGGGGGGGGGGCGTTGGGGGGATCTGAAGATTCCCAGCACAGTTCAATGTAGTGACTGGAGTGGCCTTTTTTGACAATCTGCATTTTCGACTGAGAAGTTAACAAACTTGTGAGAATTCCATCTTTTCATGATCAAGTAATATCGAAATGCAGTCTCTTTCAAAAAGACGATAGCGGAAAGTTGAAAACAACTAATCGTCATGATTTTTGCTCGTTGCGATCACCGAGACAAGCAGTTGATTACGTTTTGCAATAACGACTTACTCTTCATTTCTTATTGCTGTTGTATTTTTACAATATCAACAAAGCAGGAAGCAGGAACTATTACACAAAGACAGTATCGCTCATTAATTGCGTGTTGACGAACGAAAAGCCATTGAATTCTTCCTGGTTTATACTCGCAGCTACACGTTTATCGGTTGGTGTCAGGTTTGCTTTTTCCCTCGTGAAATCGTTGTCGAAATTTCCAACATCTGTTTTTGATCGTATTCTTGGTTTAAACGGTGGCTTAACTTGCCTCGCTTCTAATCTTTTCCAGTCGATTTCAGTAAAAAATGGATGATCTAGAATACTTTGATCTCCATTGGCTGTGCAGCCAAGTCTTTTCCTGTAGGTTTTCGTCATGAGCCCTTTCAGTATAGACACAGCTTCCCTGGTGAGCCACATAGGGTACAGCACGTCGTCATGCTTAATGCATTCAAACAGATCATCTTGATTATCAGCTTCAAAAGGGGGTTGTCCTGCCATCATTTCATACATAAAAACTCCAAGCGCCCACCAGTCCACCGAGAAACTATAGGGCATTTGTTGAAGAATCTCTGGAGCCATGTAGTCTGGTGTTCCACAAAATGTGTTTGTGAATCCCCCTGAAGACATGAAATTTTTACTCAATCCAAAATCAGCCAATTTGATGTGTCCATCTTTGTCTAAAAGTACATTATCTAGTTTTAAGTCCCTGTAAATAACACCATGCTGGTGCAGGTACCTTAGTGCCAGAACCACTTCTGCAGCATAAAACCTCGACTTCCTCTCATCAAACTTTTTAGCTTTTTGAATGTGGAACATCAAATCACCACCATTGACATATTCCATTACAAGGAACAAACGATCCTCCGTTTGAAAGCTGCAGTAAAGAGAAGTAAGAAAGGGATAGCTTGCAGATAACGCCAACACCTGTCTTTCAGTCATTGCACCCTCCACATCATCATCCTGGAAAAGAGTGTCCTTCCTCAAGATCTTTACCGCAACAATCTCATTTGTGCTTTTTCTTTCTGCCAACAGAACTTTGCCAAAGCTGCCTCTCCCGAGGACTTTGATAAAACTGAAATCTGATAAGCCAAACTTCTTTCGCAGACTTTGCAAACTAGGTGACGCCTCCAGATCATTTGCTGTAATTGGGAGTCGGTCTTTTCCTTGATTATTTGTTGTGTTTGTTTTGTTATACTCAATTGATGGCTTTCTCACTCTCATTGATTCTGTAAGTATGTTTCCTGTGAGTCCCATGCCTTTTAAGCCCTCTGCCATCTCTTTGGTGTTAATACCACAGTTGTTGGCAATATTGCCAAAACACCTCTTATGAATATTCATTTGGCATTCTGAACACTGCATTCCTTGTTTCCAGAGACCGTAAAGAAGAGAGCCACAGTGATCGCAGAACGTTGGTCTTTTGTAATTGTGTTCTACAAATCTGTGAGGCACGTCATGTTTGAAACGAACCGAGACTGTGGCTGAACTTCCAAATGCATTCTGGCCGTCACCTGGAAGAACGTCTTGTAAGTCTTGTTTCACACTTAAACACTGGGACACCACCTCCGAATGACATCGTTTGTGAACCACACAAGTGCAGATTTGGCACTGATACCCTTGTTTGTTAAAAACACCCCAAATGAATTCCCGGCAATGGCAACAGTATGTTGGCTGCCTAAGCCAAACTGCCATAAATTTGTGACCGCTTATCTGATGTACTCTTCGTCGGCGCATGGCCCCCCTTCGGCCTTTTATGCCGCTCTCACTTTCCTTAAAAACTCTTTTCTCACTGTCCTGGATTTTGGGTTTCAACTCAATGTAGAGATGAAGTTTTCCTTCAGGTTCCAAAGATATCCAAATATCAGAAACTCCTTGTACTTCAGATTTCATGATCTCTGCCAAAGCCACCGACGAATTTGCTACGAACCAGTCGTCAGGAGGCATAATGCTTTTGTGAAAGACAGTTATGCAGAGAACTTGTGCATCTTCTACCTCGCTTTCAAACTCCTCGTTCCAAACAGGCGTCAGTGTCTTCTGTTTTGAAGTTGTCTGTGCTATACGGATGTCGTCAACGTTCACCAACACATAAGGATCCATCGATGTAAGCCCACCAAGCGTTTTTCTCCTTGCCAAATCTGTGGGTTTCAAATCCGTCGCTTCGATAATCTTTATCTTCAAAGAGCCCGTAAACCCCACCATGTTGTTGTACAGTCTCTGTTAGAAGAAATGTTTTGTAATCTCAAAAATCTTCTAATTGCCCTCGTTCTTCGAATAAACCAATATTACCGTACTGCGGAATTACAATGTAAATATTTGATATCAATATCACAAATAAAATACAATAGCTGTATTGATTCTCCACAAAAGTGTTTTGTAGAACCAGTTTTTCCGTGTTGTAAAACACAGTAACGTCTCAATAACAACAAATGATATATCTTAAAAAAATGTGAAATGTCATGAATAAAATATTTTAATAGAGGAAACGTCTTACTATTCCCTAGCCTATTCAATATCATTTTATCACATCAGCAACAACAACAACAAGAAAGATAGCAGTAGCTAGCAGTGATTTCTTACAGTATTTCGGAATACGTTCCAAATGTTTGCATTTCCCATACCCGAAACATTCCTTTGGTTTTATTGTCTCCTATAAAAGAAAAAAAAAGTTGAAAAATTAGTTTCCTTTATAGCACAGCATTTGTGTCAACCGTGTCAATAGTTCATAGCAGCATCAGTGCATCTGCAAATAACAGGAACAATACTGCTTTAAAATAAATAACTTCGCAGAAGTAATCAATGATGTTAAAGTGCGTTCATGTTTCTTGAAAATTGAGTAGATGTTTGAGTTTGACCAAAAAACACACCCAAGACAATCGGCCACTTTACCAGTCATCCTTTAAGAAAGTGAACTTTGATGTTGTAGAAAATAAGAGGGCAACAATAACAAAATAAAAACTCACCAAGTCAAATATTACCGAAAATAAACCACATCTGCCCTTGCGTGTGGTCAATCAATTTGATTAAAATGTGACTGGATGACAAAAAAAGCTTTATTTATTAAAAACATAAACAGATTAGTGGACACAAAAGGTCATTTAAGGCCTGGTTCAGACCCCGTACTTTTCATGAGCCGAACCTAATTGAATAAGTTCGACTTTGGAGCGACACTGGCGCGACATCTGATTCAGACGGCGTACCGTGTGTCGAACCTAAGTTAAGTTCGACAGAAGTTCGACAGACTCTGCCGAACTTAGCGCTTTTGCCGCACCAAACTAAAACTGCCGTACCAAACTGATTCAGACGCCGCTCTTTTGCCGTACTTAATTCATCAGTTAGGTTCGGCATATGAGTGGAGCGGCGTCTGAACCGGGCCTAAGGCTTCTTAAGCTAATGCTGGCCTGGTATTAACGCCACTGTCGATTTTGACCAATTAAAGCGAATCGAATCAGAAACAGGATCAAATACTTTCAAGATCTGTCATAATCTGAAATAAGTCTTGCATATATAACTTTTGCAATAAAATTAAAGCTAATTAGAAACGAAACTGAGAACAACAAAGCTTGAAAAAAAAAAAAAAATCTCTTTATTAATTAACCATGCAATATGTTCAACTTAGTTCGTGTATCATCGGGTCTTTTCATTGCCAGACATCATCGATATCAGACGTCGATAAGGGATTACAAACATAAAAAGTCGCGCAGACGTCAATAAAGATAAAAAGACTTTAAACGACGCAATTCACGTGTTAAATTCTGGAAACTAAAACCAGTTGCAAAACAACTTGTAACAGTGTACGTCATTTGGGCGTAGATGGCCTGTCCGTGATCTTGGAACAACTTTGAATGGAGGGAAGGAAGATATACCTCATAAATGTGACTAGTAGCGATTGTAAATAAGTAAAAAAGCCAGTTTTTCGTCGAAGTGTCTCGACGTTTTTGCTACTGGTTGTAGCTACTAAAATGATTATTTTATTGCAAAGTCTTGAGGCCATGTCATCTAAACTAGTTAAGCAAATGTTAAAGCCGGTATATTATCAATTGAAACCACTGACGCACACAATCTATATATAATCAAACTCTTCGCACAGAAACTATTCCTGATGAGCTCAAAAAATAGCACTTTAATAGTACTCCAATATTTGAGGGGAGTAATTACGACGAGTTTTTTTATTATAGTCACATCTTTCTTTCTTAATTCATGTTTCAGCAAAATTCCAGAGAAACGACACATGAATTACTTCAAATGGTTTTAGCAAGAAGCGTTCGAACAATGTTGCAACTACAGATCTTATAACAAAGATTTCCACAAGCAATAGACAATCAGTATTCAATTAATATCCAAGTGGATTATTTTTAGATCTTGCAAACTTCGATCCAGGCTTCATGCTTCTTCATGTACTATATATAGTCCAAACACTTGATGATAAGTGGCGTTATGACGTTCGCTAAGTACAAAGTGCCATCTAAGCCTTAAAATTGAATTTATTTGTGTGTTAAATACGTATATGCTAAATTTGTATCGACACTATTGGCACTTACCCATATTTTAACGATAATCTGCCAGGTTATTTGACTAATTATATTAATAGCTGTTAGTTAATCCGATGTTGTCAGCAAAGCTATTTTGCTTTAATTTCTACGAACTGTCTCATCAAGGATTAATTTGGATAGTTTCAGATAGGACTTTCCTTTACAAATAGGCAAACTGTCCAATTTAACAAAAAAAAAAGGACAGCCCGTCTGAGCCAATCAAATGTCAGAAAAGACAATAGGCAATGCAAACTAGCCAATCAGTGCAACGTCCCTGTGACAATGCGCCAAAAAAAGTCTCGTTTGCTGATGGCGGTTCGTTGGCGAATACTCCTGGCTTCTTGTTGCTGTGAATGTTGTTTTGTTTTGGCTCCTTGTCTGGGCCATTTAAAAGGGAAATATAAGACCAAACTGATGAAAGTTTGCATTGGAAACAATCAACGATTCTTGAAAATGTACAAGCACTGAAACTTTGGACAAGAATAAGAAAACACTGATAGTTGAGTTTAGATGTAGGCATTACAATACAAAAGGACAAAGTCAACGGAAATCGTTTGAGGTAACGAGTGAAATGTTTACTTTCGATAGTTTTCGTGTTTAAATTAAGTATTTGTTTTGTTGCTTTGTCTTCTTTGTACTCGAAATTGCGGTTTTCACATGTAGCACCGTATCATTAAAGGAGATTTTCAAAACTTATACTTGACCACAAAATGCCAAAGTATGAAAGAGCAATACTAGTGCTACGTTTGTTTACTTGTGAAGAATAAGTTGACACTTTTTCAGATCTTGCAGTGTGATTTTGTTTCAACTACAAACGGTTCGGATGTACAATATTTCACGTCTGTGACACGCTAAAAAATCATGATTAACTAACCAGCTATATAGTAATAAATAGCGGAGCCTCCGCGCGCGCAAAGTGCGCGCAAGTGTAGCTCCATGACTAAGAAAATTTGGATATGACGTCACCGAACGTCCGCCTGTGCGGACTCTCCAGGTAGGGGAATACCGCTGAATGAAGTTTATTGCGTTTGTTTTCAGTTGTTTGTTGACGGCTTTATATTCTCCCTGAAAAAGTGAGCTTATCTAAAATATGAAAGAGTTCTCCTCTATTCTAACGACAGACTCGTCGCCCACGCCTGCCTATTGAGACCATCCAAGTATCCAGTGAACGAGTAATGCCTGTGAGTTCCGCTAGGAACATCGGAGCCGTCTTCGATCAAGAAATGACTCTTGTCGAACACGTCATTACCATATGTAAGACTTGTTTTCTTCATCTTAGGAATATAGCTAAAATAAGAGACAGTCTCTCACAAAAAGACACTGAAATCTTAGTTCATGTTTTTATTTCCTCTAAATTAGATAGTCGTAATTCATTACTCTATGGCCTTCCTCAATCTCTGATTGATCGTCTAGAAGCTGTCCAAAACGGTGCTTCACGCCTTTGAACTCGTTCCAGGAAACATGATCACATCACGCCAATTCTCGAACAGTTACATTGGCTTCCCATGTGCAGCAGTATCAAATACATGATAATTCTGTTAACCTTTTAAGCCTTACATGGGTTAGCACCTTCCTATATAACAGAAATGTTGCAACCCTATACAGACCATCAAGAAGCTTAAGATGACAATACCATCAGCAAAGTTGAAGAAATATGGCTGTAGATCTTTCTCATTTGCAGCACCTAAAATTTGGAACTCAGAAGCCATAAGTAATCATGATGACATTTCAAAATTTAAAACTTCTACTAAGACTTTCTTATTCAAAGAACATTTTAATTAAAGTTCTGTAAGAATAATGTATATAGTGTAAATATCGCGATAAGAATTTTAAGTTTTAATCGTTCATTTAAACTTTTAAATAAGAATTTTTAACTTGTATTTTTATATATTTGCGTTTTATTATTGATGTAAACTTTTTAATCTTCAAAATTTTCGGTTTGAAATATTCAGTTTTAAAGCGCCTTGAACCTACGGATATGGCGCTATAGAAATCCTTATTATTATTATTATTATTATTATTATTATTATTATTATTATTATTACTATTATTATTATTATTATTCTCAGCAATGCACTGCACAACACCTTAATAACACGTACCGCACAGTTTGCATGAGTATGGCGTTATATCCCCCCCAAAATTCAAGCTTTTGTATGCAACATTGTTGTTTTGAATTAATGCTCGCTTTGCCATTCCAATATTTGACTTCTATAATTCAACATTGTACATTCACTATTCAACATTCATGTCTCAAAATCCAATATTCAACTTCTTTAATTCAACATTGCGCATTGACAATTCAACGTCCATATTTCAAATACTATTTACATGCAACATTCGTTTGTGTGTTTTATCGGTGTAGCATCGACCAAAAAATGTCATTATTGACACCCGTTTTCAGATCTGGCGTCTAAGAAATAATGTCATAATTACTTAGATTAGAACAGCAACAAAAACGATTTCTTTAAATCCAGTTCGAATTTGCATATTTTTCTTTCTTTCGTAGTCATTTTTAACTGAAATGATGAATACGTTCATACACTCCCGTAGTTCCCTCAAAAACCATACCCGATATCCAGACCAAAATAGGCAAGGTCTATACCTGTTTTCAGACCAAAATGCCGCAAAAACTCTACCCTTTTGGGCGGCACATGTATTTGGCTTATA